GAGGCAGCAGCTTCATCAAGGGAACGAAGATACTTACGCTTCAACAAACGTAATGATCTCGTTAACCCAGACAACTTCAGGCCACTAAGCTCCAGATCATCCAGTACCTTGATTTCTTCAGTTGTGAAGGTCTTTGCACTGGAGAAAGACTCAGGCAGACAAACTGCCTCTCGAATAGCATCAAACATCCCAGATTGTCATACGGCATGCTTGGCCAAACCAGAACCCGAAGTAGGAGGAGGGGGTTCCATCACTTGCCGAGGAGGGGATAACGGAACATTTTTGGTAGGGATCTCCTTGCCTTTGTTCCCAACTTCCCCTTTTTCTGTCACCTTGGCTTTTGACTTGTTAACAACATCCTTGGGCGGATTCAGCTCGGACACCTTCCTCTTTTTCCCCACCCCAGGGGAAATATCTTTCTGCAACAACCCGGAGGTAGACTCGTTCTTTCCTTTGGTCAAAGCGGCCAACCAACTTGGAGGAGTGTTTGGTTGCTTTTCCATTTGGGGAACTGAAAAGCAAACAAAATAAAGCAAAATAATGAAATCAGTTGTTAAGCGGAGTATAAAACATTTCAATATAGCAATCAGACATACTTAATTTGGCATCAAACTCCTCTTGAGATTTATAAATAAGAGACGCAACGCTAGCATGTTGATGCGTCTGAAGATATGTACCGATGGTGATCACGGTATTAATATCATTGCAGTCTAACTGGGATTCTTTAAAGCGGTAGCTGGAAGGAGGAAAATGAAAATGATCGGGTGACCAACATAAGAGAAATTTTCCCTCTACCTCCTTCGTGCCACAGTATTGGAGAAACCATACCTCCTTACCGGGATGCGCACACACCTTAAAGAACTTGTTTTTAAAACCCTTAAAGGACTCTGTATAGACCTTAAAGAGTCTACGGCCAGGAACACCACAGACAGTAATCCAACCTTTCAGTTCTGGTGGTTCGCGACCAGTTCGGCAAGAGATGACTTGAAAGAAGAAAAAGAAAACCATAACGGAAGGGCGAAGAACAAGGTAGGCACAAAACCGCTCAAAGGCCTTAACGAAACCACACCCGTTGGGATGGAGTTGTGTAGGGCATATTTGAAGATGATTGAGTATCTCTATTTGAAATTCGGTCAATGAAAATCGGATTCCAAGTTGAGTAATGAAATCTCGGTAGAAGAAAAAGAAGCAAGGACCCTCTTCAGTCCCACCAGAACATACGTGTTCGTCTTCTACAAGGGCTACAATGTCAAAGTTTTCAACCAACCCAACTGAAAGTCTAGACACGTCTTCCGCAGAAAGCTCGGACGTGTATTCAAAACCTCATGAGTCACCCAGGGAAACTGGGATGTCAATGAGGATGGCGAAGGCCCAAAACGTGACTCGGCAGAACCAGATTCCTCTACTACCTCTCGAGGGGGAGATGCCATATATGCCTAGAAAAACAAGAAAGTTTAAATCAGAAGGAAAGAATGGTTATACCTGCATCAAAAATACTAGCAGACGATGAGTCACTAGAAGATGAAGAGCTTGGCACGTCGGAAAGAGTAATCGGATCATTGGCCCCACCAGATGCCGACTTCGATCCAACAAAATTTCCATGCTGGCAACTTTCCAAAGTGGACTCGGCCAACGAGTCACATCCTTGCTCGACAAGCTTAGAACTAAGGTAGACGCAAGAATAACATGGGACACCTCCTGAGACAGAGGAAAGATAGGGCAAAGCAGGGATGTTGGAACGTGAACCTGAGGTGGTCTTGGGTAGAGAACATGGAACTGAAGGACTACTTTTTCTGAGGCACTTACTCCGGGAAGAACAACCTCTACCCCGCTGAGACCCTAACTCCATATTCGACACCTCGGCCCTTCGCCGAGATCTACCACCACGGCAGCCTCGAAGCATAGCCTCTTGCTCTTCTTCTTTAGTCCTGGGAATCCCCCAAAGCCAAAAATGAGCACCTGGAGGAATCTTTTTGAAAAAATCAGGGTTTTCCTCCCTCTGCCCTTTAAAACACAAAGCTGAAGGAAAAGGGTTTTTTCCCCTCATTTGGTCAAAAATTGAAAAATACTAAATGTCAAATAGCAAAAGGAGGAGGAGAAGAGCAAGATGATGATCATCCGCACGACAAGAGGGAACATACAACTGCTGCAAATATGACCCTATGGAAGTTTTTTACAGGTTCTGGAAAAATAGCAAAAATCGACGATGCAACATGTACATCTTCAACGAAAAAAAACACTTACTAGTAAGACAAAATGTTCAAGTGTAGACTCACAACAGAATCGACAAAAAACTACAAATATGTGCAAATACCTGTTAAAGGAAGACGAAAAACCCAAGCAGAAATGGGGCACAAAACTCAGAAAACACGCACACGAAAACAAAAAACTAATGCTGGTGCATGATGCTCAAAAGCTAAACAAAAGCAGGTGAGAGGGGAAGATGGCTTATATAGCCAAGCAAACGACTACTGGAGTATGAATAGCAAAGGTCAGGGTTATTTAAGTACTTTCACCCTCAACTTATAACTGCCACGATCGTGGATGGAAACCGCAATCATCAAGCGCAAAAATCACAGCGCAGAGGAGGCTAAAGGGCGAGGGCAAAACTGCCACCTCACAAAAAAATAATAATATATATATATATATATATATATATATAAATAAATAAAATTTTGATGATAAGACAGCTGAAGCGATGCTGCAATAAATGCGCACGAAACGCAATGACAGCATAGGAACGGCCGCGGCACCCTATAGTACGCGGGCTGGAACACGTGGCACAACGCAATGATCATCGTTCACAAACCTACATATGAGACAACACGTGTATGAACATACAGTTGTTCACCGAGTTTGGAGCTGATGCTGGGGTAATAATCAACTCAAGGTTATTTCAGCATAGCTTCTACCCGGCTACACAAGGAAGCAGTAGGCATACATACATGCCCTTGTAACCCGGGTACAATGTCGACGCAGGTTCTTCATGAAAATACCGACGGGATCGTACACAACCGTTGACCAAATCAATATGCAGATGCATTCTGAGATCAGGAATACCGCTTGGGGGCAATCCGCAAGTAGGCTCAAACAACTCAAGCGTATTCCTCACTCAAAATAGCAATATGGTTGATGCTCAACCAGCAAGGCAAAACGAAGAAAAACGACGCTGCACATAGGGAAGATGAGAACCCGAAAGCAACGTGTCTGCCGACATTGGGAGGCAACCAAACAGATCGACATTGTACCTAGTTCAAACATTGCAAGGTACCCAAAATATCCCACCTGGTTGATACTCGACTCGTCGGCATAAGAGGGGCAAAGAACATCCCGTGAGAAAAAAGAATTCGCTCGTCAGAAGAGCGTGCAAGTCTACAAAAGCGCAAACACATTCGGGAGTTAACAACTGGGAAAAAGGCACTCATAGGTTCATCCCGACTACCCGGATACCCAGGTAGCCCGGCTGAGGGGCAACTGTTATGGACCCATATGATGGGCCCATTAAATAGTAAGTCCAACAAGGGGCAATCCAAGATATGGATTGATGATAATCAAATCCTACTAATCTTAATGTGTCAGCATAGCTATCCAAACTATCTACAGGTAACCTCTATAAATACCAGGGAAAACCCTAAAGGTACACACATTCTCTCTCATTGTTATGTTGTCACTGCGCGCACACACACCCCATTGGCTAACGCCATTATAGTATTCTGTGCACAGTGATCTCCTTGACTCAAAGGTATCTCCCTCATAGATACCTTGGAGAGGGCATCAGATCCAATATTAACGTACTAGCCTGACTGGGCTAGACATCTCTGTCTCGAGGACAGAACAGATCCAATGACTGATTCATCAGATTTCAGATCGACCCAACTGGGTCGGACTGAGTTTTACAACAGTGCTTCTGCTAGATCTGATGATACTTTTTTGGGTACGATATAAATATAGGATCATTCATTCATGGACAATGTTTTTCTCATGTAATGTTTTTCTCATGTTATATGAGATATATTATTTTATGTAGGGACATAATTAGGTGGGTCTCGTAATTAAAAAAAAGAAAAAGAAATGTTGGCTCAAATTTCGATGTGTGTAATAGGAGATAAGATTTCTCATGTAACATGATAAAAATATTTCCCTTTCATTTATTTTAATAGTTTGTAAAAATGTTAAAATTTTCAAATTAAAAAAAAAAACTAGAATAGATTAGATAATAACTAATGAGATATGATCTTGTGACAACCAAATAATGTTACTACTACATCTTAACCGTTGATTTCCGCCAATAACGGTTATCATTTTTCAAATCAAACTCATTAATTAATGGAAATGGATCTTCTGATGTGAGAAAAACATGACATGGTCATGTGAGAAGATCACAACCATACAAAGTTAAATCAATGGTTATGATTTTATAACTACCTATTTTACTATTTTTTCCCTCTCCTCTTTTATTACCATTGATCCACCTTTGTATGGTTATGATTTCCCACTTTACCATGTCATGTGATTTTTCACATCAGAGGATCCAGATCCTTAATTAATTATTAATTCGCAATAAATGATAACCGTTGATTGGTGGAAATTAACGGTTAAGATGTGGTAGTAACATTGCTAGTAACATTATTTGGTTGTCACGATATCCTATCCCATAACTAATTTAAAATAAATTCTAACTAAATGTAAATCTAATTATAATATTATTAGGAAAAAAATATTTGTCATTTTAAATAACATAAAGTTATGTCATTTTAAGAGAGATAGACATAAAAATAATTTTTTATTTAAGATTTAAATTAAAAAAAATCAACCACTTTCTCTCATATAATTTTCATTTTAATTCCTATTTCTCTTAAAATTACATAATTTATTTCATTTAAAATCACAAACATCTAACATTAATTAACTTATCTTAAATAATTTTACATCAATCTTGAGAGTTCAACAAAATAGCCGTGAAAAGTGTCCGTAAATCAGTGTGAAACCCGAATCAGGTTTCCGAGAAAATCTGAGAACACAACACAAACACAAGAATCAACACTCACTTCCTCATATTCACATCACTTTGTTTCTCTCTTTTTCTGGGTCTGTTAGGGTTTTCCAATTTCCATGGCAGAGGTTATTAACATGCCCCCTGATTCTCTCGACAAATCTCCATCCTCTTCCGCTCCCCCTCCTCCTCCTCCTCCGCCGCCACTTCCTTCTTCTTCCGCCGTCGATGACGATCTCCCTCCGCCGCCGCATTCCTCGTTCCGGAGGAGGGACAGGGATTCCAGGGACAGGAGGGACGATAGGGATTACGATCGACCTCCGAACCGCCGCGGAGGAGGCGGCGCCGATTACTACGACAGAGACAGGAACATGTCGCCGCCACCGCCCCCGCCGAGGGACAGAGACAGAGACCGGGACTTCAAGCGCCGCCGCAGCCCGAGCCCTTCCCATCGCGACCGGCGTTATTCTCCAGCGTTGCGGCGCTCGCCTCCGCCTTACAAGCGGCCTAGGAGGGGCAGTCCACGCGGCGGTTACGGACCCGATGACAGGTGATGCATGCTTTTTCGGGTTTTAGTTTTGGTTCAACGCGTGAAATGGTAACAGCTAGAATGAATTTGTTCTCGTTGTGCGATTATAGGAATTGAATTAATAGATTAGCTACTTGATGTGATTTTAGGTTGAGAAAAAAACCTGAGGATTTTACTTTAGAGTTAGGTGTTTGTAGCTTAAACCTGTTTCCCGTAGGAACTATGTGGTAGAAACTGGTTCAAGATTTAGGAAATACCAGATAAGAAATTGGATATTGGATGTTGATTGAATCCTTTTTCTTATAGCCTCTTCCCAGGATCTGAATAGGTAGACGATGATGGAAAATTGAATACAATGGAGGTTTCCCTCTGTCTCTCAACTCCAGGGAACAAGAACCCTAGCCATCTCTACTTTCTGTACTAATTCTCTACCATTTCTTCTTTCCTCACTCCCTTTTATTCGTACAACTTCTCACCCTTTTCCTCTAACTAACTTCTACTTTAGTTCCGTACTTCTGCTGGAATATCATCCAACTAACTAACTGTCTTTATTCCTCTGAATTAGGGGGTTTCTGTCACTATGAGAAGACTCTGGAAAATGATTTGAAGTGCTTTTCATGTTTTATTTGATGTTGTCATTCTTGTTTCTAACCAGCAATAGTCTCACCATGTAGAAGAGGAGAGATTATTTGTTTCCTAATGGTGCCTTGTCAGAAATCTGGGATTTATTGGAATTGGGTTTTTCTTCTGTTAGTGCAATCATAGTTTATGTTTTTCTTTGCTAGTTGAATTGAGTTCCTTTAATTCTGTTTCCTCCCTTTAGTACCTTAAGTTGTACATCATGCTTTTTCCAAATCTGATATTTCTTACTTCACCTCCTTATCTGATTACAGCAGACTTGGATATGATTATTATGGCGGTTACGATCGGGGAGTGGGTGGACGACTTGGTTATGTAGATGAGAAGTCTTATGGCAGGTTTGGACATCGTTCTGCAGGGGGATATCAAAATGGGATTTCTGGTATGTTTATAGTTGCTAATAACTTGGGTTTTTCCTATACCCCCCATTTTATCTGTAGAATTAATTATATTCTTATCATTATTTTTTAACTGAATTGTTATACTCATTATCTCTTGCTTTTCAACACAAAAGTATATTTGCGTAATAGTTCACGAGTTTACTACTCTTAGATTTCATGGTTTCTTCATTGCATGTTGTACATGTGGGGTGTGTTAAATATGGTAATGCTATTACTTAGTTTGTTTCAGCATTGAAAAAAGTGCTTTTATGACGTACCTTTTATTTTTTCAGAAGCTACTATTTGTTAGCTTATTTTGAGGTTTTTTCTTTTTAATAAAACTTATCTAATCATTATAAAAAAATTAAACATTTTTTAATTAAAAGTGTTTTTTTTTCTCTAAAAAAGTTCAAACAAACAGGCCCTTAATCATAGTTGTCAATCCCAAAAACCCATAGCAAATGGGCGTTTACTTAAGATCTATGTTACACTGACACCGACACGGGACACAACACGACACGTTAATTCTAAAAAATGCTAGATTTTAATACGTTAATTCTAAAAAATGTTAGATTTCGACACGTTATGACACGTTTTGATATTAAAAAAGTTAAGGAACTTAAAGCAATAGTAATGGCTGCCAAAGTAATGAGAACTGTCATGGAAGTAAAAAAGAGAGGGCTGTGAATTGCAAATTACACAACAAAAAGCAAAAAGAACAGAGCAGAGGTGGGAGAGCCGGTGATGGACGGGACTGTTTTGGATGGTGACGACGGGAGGTGATGGACAATGACTGGAGAGTGGAGACAGTGTATTTCACGTACAAAAGGGGAGTGGGAGTTCGGGAGGCTTTCCCTCGAACCCTAAGGGGAGTTGGGGAACTTGACGGAAATGATAAAAAAACCAAAGAAAGCTAGGTGGGTGTTAGGATCCAAGAATTGATAAATGAAAATAGAAATCGAATATGGAAGGTTGTATTGATAAAAGCTGATCCAAAATGAAATCAGCTACGTAAGCTTACAAAAAGTAAAACATAGCAATGGAAATGATAATGAAAGCAAAGAACAACAAAGAATAGTAACACAGATTCAGAGCAATTCAAGAGGCTCTGAGATCTCTCCCAAGTTTCTAGTCCCAGATTCCCAATACGACCAAAGTTATGAAATGTGTCTTGCTTGCAGACCACTATTTATCCCTAGCAACGTTACATTCCATGCCACTAACCACCTAGTTTCTGACTCAGCCTGTGCCACTAATCTTCTGTTTCTCTTTCTAGTATGCATCCTCAATGGAGGGGTCATATCAGTGGGGCACACAGAAATGGGGGCTAATTGGAGTTTTTTTTTACCTGCCTGATGATGTAGTTGTCGCTATTTGATACAATTCGAAGCTGTGGCTCATCTAGGGGAGGCCACATTATTTGGCACAGCCACCTCGAACCGGAGAATTAACTACCCTGATTTTATTGGTAACAAAGAGGGGTAGCTGTCGAAATGAGAAGCTTGATAAGCGTTCGATTAAAGCTTGAAAATGTCTTGTTTGAACACATTATAGGGCTCAATTATATACCTAAGCTGAAATTTAACATCCGTTGCTGGTGCTTGATAAGCTTAGTTCGAGTCTGATTAATTTTATTTGTATTAAAATTTATTATGTGTTATGGTATCATAACTATAAAAAACTAATTAAAAAATTGTATTAATATAATTTTTTTAAATAAATTAAAATAATATTTTAAAATTCTAATTTGAATTGGGATTGATCTTGAATTTAAGAAAACATGATCCCATCTATGCTCGAATATGTATTTAGGCTTAGCTTGGCTTGATTCTACCCCTAATTAGCAAACCTGTATCTATTGTGTTTAATATATGTTTGGACTTTGATTGGTTTTGCTCATGTTTGGTTATAAACTTGTAATAAATGCATGATTATTGTTTACTACTCTATAATCAGTAGTTATGGTCTGGATAAGATGCTGTTATGAGCTATGTAGCACCGATACCGACATGGGACGCAGACACTACACGACACGGTACTCCGATACGTTAATTCAAAAAAATGTTAGATTTCGACACGTTAGGACACGTTTTAATATTAAATAATATTTTTAATTTATGTTGCATATATTATATTTAATATTCAATACTTTAACAAAAAAATAAAGCTAAACTTATAATACCCATTAATTTTGCAAAGAAACATAAGATATCACAAATATTTATATTAAATTCAATAAAATGGTAATAGTAATCCAACAAATCTAATAGTTAGAACTAGAAACACAATGCAACCTTTGAACCTTTTTTTGAGTTTCTACAACGCGCGTTCGAGTGTCGAGAAGTGTCGGACACGATACATCGGGATTTTTGAAGTGTCGGTGTTTCATAGGTTATGAGTATTAATGGGTTGTAGTTTACCATAACCAAAGGCATAAGTACATTTATTCATTGCAGCCTTTTGTGTTTCAGACTGTATTGTTAAGTGGCAATGTTACAATCCTTTTTATAATTTAATTTGACAATGTAATTGTAATTTGCACTGGATCTGTTCCATTGAGTGATAATGTCTTTTTTTTTTGTGCGCCCATTCCTTCATCCTTGTTCAAAGTACACAACCTTTCTAGTGAAGTAAATTAAAACAGAAAACAAACCAAACACCCTTTTACTTTTTCGTTTCCCTTGATTTTAACTTTATCCATTTTATTGTAGATTGTAATTCTTTTTTGTTATTTAATGACATCTATAAAACTATTCTACACTAATCAAGTGAAACGGACTTGGCCATAAAAAAATTTGTCTTCCTCTCTCTTTCAGTTTTTTTGTTAAATTCCTAATTTTTTTGTATAAATGTTGAACACTTTTTTGTCCACTTAACTGAAGAACAGTACATCCTAACTCTTACGTGGTATCAAGATTCAAGTGTCAACATTTTTTTTTTGGATAAAGACAACTTACTATTTATATGTTCATATGTTTTTTGTACTTACCTTTTGCAGATATGGAACCCAATCGTGGTTATTCAGACTTGCCAAGTGGCGGTGCACAAAGGTTAGCTTTATAATTTTTTTGTCCGAACAATAAATTTTACCTGCTCTGTTTGTTGTTTCTTGTCCAACATAAACAAGGAATTTTATCACTGGGAAGGTATTTGAGTAAGGAAATATGGCAAACATGCCAATATAATTCAATAAACCTTTTAGGACACTAGCTTTATAGGTCTATGCTGTTGAGGAGTTTTTAAATAATTTGGGAACATGTTAACTTCACATCTGGAAGGGTGGCTTCAATTGAAGATGCACCTTACTGCTACAACTAGACAAGGCAAAGATGATATCTCTGTTGAGATTATGGATGTTCTGAGTTAATGTTGCATATATATAAATAGTAAAAACAATATTTTCTTTTCTTTATTTCCTTTACAAAAATTTGAAAAAGGAAATAGAATCAAAACAAGGTGGCATTTTTGTTATAAATAGTGAAAACATATCAACTGAATACTAATACATAAAACAAATCAAACACCCCCCTTATGTTTGGATGTTTCATATGTTACAATATCTCTACTGTAGACTTTTCATTCTCTGATTTAGCCTTGTAAAATTTTGTGGACATACTTAGATTTTCACTTTACTTGAACTTATACGGGACTTTTGGTAGAGGATAAATTTTTGTTTCCGAGAATCATGATTCCCAGGTATATGGTGGGAAAGTAAATTTTTTGAGAATGTAACCAAATGTTTACTGGAAATATTGGTTTAAGTTTCCTGATTCCATGTTGGTTAATTGTCAAATGTTACTGGGAATGTGGGATGATTTTACATAAATAACCCTACCTTAAATTCTTTTCTTTCAAGCACGATTTACATGGCTGTTCGTTGGGTGAACGAATCACTAATTCAATTCTTAAAATTTTCTCAGCTAATAGGAGCAACACAAAATGAATAACAGCCAAAAACTATCAACTGTCTTAGGAACCATGATTCATGTTTGAGCAAACATGTTACTATTACCACAGTGAAAGAAACAGAAACAAAAAAAGAAGAGCAAAAAAAAAAAGACAACCGAGATGACAATTACACATTATTATTGAAGCAGGGTCATGGGAATTGGGCAAAATATGAAATTCTCATAACCCATTTGAGCTTCAAATGAAATCAATGCAGAGGAAAGAGAGAGAGAGAAAGAAGCTTCTGCAACCCATTTTCTCATAACCCTGCTTCTGCAACCCATCTTGAACTATGAAGCACCGACACGTCTAAATTTTTTTTCCAACGTATCGGACACGCGTCCCAGACGGATACGCTTCCGATATCCATTTTGCCGTATCGATTGGTCAACAAAATTTCGACACAGTCAAATCTCGTTTCCAATCGCGGACCAGTAGCCAACTGCCACGTCACACCACCGCAAACCCACCTCGAGCTCCTCCGTGTCGTTCACGAACCAGAGCTCTGCACCCGCCATCTTGCTAGTCTGCTGGTCTTCTTCAGCTTCCTGCTGCAACACATCACCACTGTTTTTTTTTTATCTTCCTTTCCTAAAACTAGCCACCGCTTGAGATGCTGTAGGTTTTCAAGAAAGTAAAGATTAGGTTTAGTGATGTCAATATTTTTCTTAAAAGAAAGAGCCCAAGCAAGTTTTGTCCATGTAGTTTGTTTTGGTGGGCTTGGTACACTAAGCCCATTAATCTTGGACTGTTAGTTTCTTTTAAGCAATTATTTGTTGTGGTAAAATATCATAAAATTAAAAAGACAAGTAATTATAATAAAACTAAATAAATAATGCAGTAAATTAAAATAAGCAAATACATGCTGTGAATGTAAATAATGGGTGCTGTTTAATTTTCATATTTTATACTCATTAAGTAAATAAACAAATACTTAAATAATGTGAAATACATTCTATATATTAAAAATATTATTTAATACTAAGACATATCGGAATGTATCGAAATAGTAGTATTTTTGAAGTAACGCAACGTCCCATATTGGGAACGTATCGAAAATGCCATGTCGGTATCGGTGCTTCATAGATCTCGAATTCCTTCTCTTTTTGAGTTTCTAGAAGCTTCTGCTTCCGCTGCTGTTGCTATGAATGAAAGAAAGAGATCTGGGAAATGCAAAAACGAGTTTGTTCATGGGATGTGAAGCAAAAGCAGTGTGGGTTAATTTCGTCAGTTTTTGTGTGCGGAAGTTTCCATTTTCCCAGGAATCCAAAAATACCACTTTGCTGCTGTTGCTATGAATGAAAGAAAGAGATCTGGGAAATGCAAAAACGAGTTTGTTCATGAGATGTGAAGCAAAAGCAGTGTGGGTTAATTTCGTCAGTTTTTGTGTGCGGAAGTTTCCATTTTCCCAGGAATCCAAAAATACCACTCTCTTGGTGGTATTCTTGGATGGTATTTTAATTTACATTTTGCTTTAAAAAAAATCCCTGGAAAATCACATTTCTGGGAAAATTTTCAGAAATCTTATACCAAACGTGGGTAAATAGGATTACCACCTTTACTTTCCCGGGAATCTAAAAAAAAACCCTCTACCAAACACCCCTTGTATGAAAGGATATATGCAAGGAAAAGTTCTAAGGGGGCGTTTGGTCGGAGGTATCTTATCAGATAGATAGGATTCTGATAAGTGGGAAAGATGAATCACCATGTTTGGTTGAAGATTTTCAAAAATTTCTCCAGCGAAATCAGTTCCCCATCCATCAAGTTTGCATGTCAATTTGGCTTAAATGCAAGGCAACCGATTCCCATCTGAGATGTGGTATTTGAGGATATCTACCTAAATGAAGAAATGGATGATTAACCACATGACCACCATACCCTCAACTTGGAGCCCAAATCACATCTGAAGGAAGGTGACAGCTGTACATACACGACCACTCTCCGCACCGGCACCGGATACCAGCAACTGAACGACGTTGTCACACCACCACCAGCAACCAAAACAGAACCAAACACTGAAACAGAGCACAATAGGCAAAGACAAACCAATAACCACCCACCCAGATCAAAACAGTAACAGATTGAAGGAGAAAGAGTTCAGCCACAACCCAGATTAGCCACAGTCAAACCAACCCAAGCAGGACCCAATCAAACCACCCACAAATTGAAGTTGCCCCAAGCACGGACCATTGCATTAGGGTTCAGATGAGAGAATGAGGTACAATGGGATGTTCCAGATGAGGTTGAATAAGAGAAAGAGATCAAATGGGGTGTTTAGGATTTTGGTAGGCTTGATTTTTTTTTTCCCCTGAGAAATTGATTGCTCTGCCACTTGGATGGTGGCTGTGCAAAATTAGCTGATCCCTATAATCCTACCCCAATCACATCTTGAAGCGGCGTGGAAGGTGAAGGAAGGGTAAAGGGTAGGTGATTTAAAAAAATGTAAAAAGAGGGATATTTTTGTAATTGTAACACATGTCCCCATCTATATTTTATCTCACACCAAACATAGACTTTTATAATCTTATCTAATTTGCCCAGTAATTTTTTTTTCAACCAAACAACTTTTTTTACATTTTCCTACCAAACTCAATTTCCAACCATTTCCCTATCAATTACATTTTTCCAGTATTCAAAAAATTTATCCTCAACCAAACACCCCCTAACTGCATATCTCTGTTATTTAGCCTATGGCTGCAAACAGTATATACTCGTAAATCAAATATTATAAAGCCACTTAAAAGTAGCGTTTTTGTGTAAATGTAATATTTTTACTCTACTGCTGTTTGTATCAGATTTCTCCTTATACTTTTCTGTTGTATTGTTAGAGATTTTGTTATGTTGATGACTCAGATCTGAGTCATCACCTTGCTCTATATATATATATAAAGAGCCTCCTTGTATCAGAAACATATATTCAGAATACACAATCGATTCAATGGCTTCTCCTCTCTCTCTCTCTCTCTTAAACTCTGATAATATCCAATATAAGCATTAACTAATTTTTGGACAAGCTTGGGTAGAAATTTGTGAAAGCTAATTTATTGAACAGTTTTCTTAGAAATTTGTAAAACTCCTTTTACTTATAATTTGAATTCACTGTGTACTGTTTGTGGGAAATCCCCAAGTTAAATTAAAGAGGCTGCCACGTGCTGCCATTGACTTTGCATGCTTTTTTGGCACATGCAAAACTATATTTTGTTACCATTAATAAATGAAATTTCCAGCACCCCATTTATGAATACATTGTATCCATTCTACCTATCCATCTGCCAAATATATATGAGAGCCTTATAGATGTCTGAATGGAGAAAACAGTCTCCTGAGCTTATTGTTGTTGATGGGAGTGGGTACTGAGTATATCTAGCAGCTCAACACTTAATGTCCTTGTTACTGGCTGGGTTTTGGTGATGTCTCAATGTAAAACCTTAATTTGAATTTCCTTCACAAAAGTTGTACTACTATAATTTCAGTTTTTGATTTTAATTGACATTCTTGTCCTATTCAACTAATGGTGCATGAACTGTTGCTTCAGCAAAAGAAACTTTAACAAAATTCTTTCCTGAACTTCAGGAGCGCCCAGCACATATTTCCTGTCTGATTTTTCTGCTTTCAACCAATTGAACAGTTGTTTTCTGTGCTCATTATCCCATATGTATTCATGATATTTCTATACCTAAGTGTGTCTTCAACTTTGAGTTTTCTCATTAAATAGCAAAATTAACGCTTTGTGAAAACAATGATTCTGTTATTTCTTGTTTAATGATTCTATGTTATCTTAATTTACTGTCTGACAATAGACCTTTCTGGGAAAACATGTTAACATTAAGATATCTGTGAGTTGTTCCAGAGAGGGGTTGATGTCCTATAAGCAATTCATTCAGGAGCTTGAGGATGATATTCTACCGGCTGAAGCAGAACGTAGGTAAGTTCTGGAAAATAATATCTTTTGTTCAAGACTCATCATTTGAGTATCATGAGAATTTATTGTATGTTCATTGACAAATGACTTGCAATTGATTTTTCTAGGTATCAAGAATACAAATCAGAATACATTTCTACCCAAAAACAAGCTTATTTTAATGCTCACAAGGATGAGGAGTGGTATGTGTTTTTTCCTCTTGTAAAATTTGTAGTTCATTGTGGAAATGCTTACTATTAAAAGTAAATATTATCATATTGCTTCAAGTTCAAATGTACTGATGTTCTTTCAATTATATGTTTTACTATTTGATGTAGGTTGAAAGATAAATATCATCCAACAAATTTGCTTACAGTCATTGAAAGGTGAGTGTATATCAACCTTACCGTCTAATGAAGAACTGAACATTTTTTCCTCTTAATGTTGATGGATGTTTTTTTTTTCTTTCGTTGGATGATAACTATATAGGCAAGTGGATTAAAATTCATATTAAGACATATTTGTATTGAGTTTTGTCTGGTTCATCATCTTTAGGAGGAATGAAAGTGCTCGCCAGCTGGCAAAGGATTTTTTGCTTGATCTGCAGAGTGGAACATTAGACCTGTAAGTTCTCTTACTCTCTCTTTCACTTGCTCTCGTGAGTTTCTTTGTTTGGCCATCATGCATAATTTGTATTACTATCAACGCAGAAATCCCGGATTAAATACCTCTTCATCCAGCAAATCAGGGCAAGCTAGCGAGCCAAATTCAGAGGAGGAACCAGACACTGGAGGTAAACGAAGAAGACATGGTAGGGGATCTAATAAAGAAAATGATTTCTCAGCTGCTCCAAAGTCTCACCCTATCAGTTCTGAACCCAGACGAATACAAGCAGATATTCAACAGGCTCAGGCCCTTGTACGTAAACTTGACTTAGAAAAGGGGATTGAAGATAATATTTTATCCAGCAGTGATCACAGCAAAAATGATGATAAGACTCATAGTGGATCTGTGGGTCCTATAATAATTATACGAGGCCTAACATCTGTTAAGGGTTTAGAGGGTGTTGAGCTTCTGGACACACTTATTACATATCTTTGGCGGATTCATGGTGTAGATTATTATGGCATGATTGAGACTAGTGAGGCTAAGGGTTTTAGGCATGTGAGAGCAGAAGGAACAGGGCATGAAGAAAAAGGTAAATCAGGGTTTGAATGGGAGAAGAAACTTGACTCATTTTGGCAGGGAAGGCTGAATGGTCAGGATCCCTTGGAAGTAATGACTGCCAAGGAGAAGATAGATGCTGCAGCAGCTGAAGTGTTGGATCCATATGTTAGAAAAATTAGGGATGAAAAGTATGGATGGAAGTATGGTTGTGGAGCTAAGGGCTGCACAAAGCTTTTTCATGCTGCTGAATTTGTGTACAAACATCTGAAGCTAAAACACCCAGAGCTTGTTATTGATCAAACTTCAAAACTACGTGAGGATCTCTATTTTCAAAATTACATGAAGTAAGTAATAACTGAGGCTTCATTTGATTTGGGGTTATTATTGCAAGTGTTGGTGGAAATATCACTGATACTGGCCTTACTATTGTTGTAGTGATCCAGATTCTCCTGGTGCAACGCCTGTCATGCAGCAACCTCAGGTGGACTACTGATTTTGTTTTACCATAAGTATATATACCTAGAAGAAAGACATTACTAGAATGAGGCATGATTTTATAAAACTATCGTTATAGTTGTGCTATGAGAACCCTTTCTGTCCAAGTTTTGGTATATGGCTTTTTAGCAACGTTGTGGATGATTTCTGATAGCTTGTCAAATAGTGAAGTTTTTGAATTTTCCTCCAACAGTATGCTGCATATCTGAGTGCAAATTATTTGATGTATATCTTATGTTTTTATTTTTTTATTTGCAGAAGGACAGGCCTTTAAAACGAAGATTAGGTCTTGAGGGTCGATTGAGAGATGATCGTGGTAATCGGCGAGATCATGATCGGAGTGACAGAATAAACGATGGAGATAGGACTGAGAATTCCCCATCTCGTGAAAGGCATTCTAAAGCACTTGAGATGGGAAACCATGATGAAACAATGTATGACACTTATGCAGGGCCAGGTGTACCTCCATTTGCCTCAGATATGCCCCCTCCTCCACCAGTGTTGATGCCTGTACCTGGTGCTGGGTTGGTTGCCCCTTCTAATCATCTTTTCTCTTCACAGTCTGATGCACTTTTTTGGTTTCTTAAGATTTAGTTAGTGATTATATAATGTATATCTACAGGCCTTTAGGACCCTTTGTTCCTGCTCCACCAGAAGTTGCAATGCAGATGCTAAGAGAGCAAGGAGGACCATCTTCATATGAGGCCTCTGGAAGAAAGATGCGGTCAGGTCCTCATATGGGTGGACCAGCACCAATAATTGCTGTTCCTCCAGCTTTTAGACCAGATCCTCGGCGTATGCGAAGGTAAATGTTTTGCATGACCCTTGCTCAGATATTTTCCTATTTTATCTCCATTCAGTTCCTTCCCACTCATTTCTGTGATCGTTCATCTGGAAGTCCTCTCAAATAGCATTATTGTTTTTATATCCATTTTATTTGGTACATGGGTGATATTTAAGTCCATTTTACATGGCCTAAAAATAGTAAAATTTCTTCAGTTCTCTACTTATTTGTCCATAATCTGACATATTGAGAGAGTGCCTTTGCTTTATTTATTTTGTTTGTGAAAGGGAAATTCGTTTAAAAGAAAAGTTCTTTTATTCTTTCCTTAGCTATTATGGCCAGAAAATTAGGATAAGGATCAGGAGGATATCCTAGTAAACATAAAGCGTGTGCCTGGCAAAGATGAATGTAGATATCAATTTTGTTTGTATCCAAAAAAAAGATATCAATTTTGTTTTTTACTGTTAATGGAAAGAGTCAAGTTCTTATTTGCTGTCTTTGATTGACTTTGTATGATAAACTTATTTTGCTAATGGTGGTGCAGTTATCAAGATCTGGATGCCCCAGAGGACGAGGTCACTGTGATAGATTATCGGAGTTTGTAGGTGTCATTGGGGTGGCTGGTTTTCAATAAATTCAATGAGATTGAATGGGTGGGCAACCAGCGAACTTGAAAGATGTTCCTGTCAATATTTTGCAGGGGTTAAGGCTCTATATTCTTCTCTGAATTTGGAGAATCTTATTATTCTTATTTGCGGAAATTTGTCCTGGGGAATAGACTTTAATATTGTACTAGAGTTTAGACTGATGACATGCATACCTTTGCACCATTTTTAAAATTTTTTCCCGTTTCCATCCAGATTTATATTTTCTATGGATTAATAGTTTGTATGCTAATAATATTTATATGTTCTGCAAAATAAAATTCATAACCAAACCAGTAACTTTTGAAAACAAAATATAGTTTTATATAAGAGATTCGCAGTTTACGTAAATAACAATTTTTTTCATTAGCTTAATGTTATATTTGGTTCGTTGAAGGGGGATTTCATTTTATATTTATTTCATGGAATAAGTACTTTCGTATTCATTACTTATTAGCATTAAAGTAGAAATTCATTCCGTATTTCATTTCCCAAAAATAGGAATTACTATTCTTTGCATAGTAACATGCGTTACAAATTTGGTTTTATAATACCAGGAACATCATTATTTGCATGATAATCTGCTACTTGGTTTACTTTGATGGAGCAATCCGTATTTAAAATGTTATTTTTAGAGATACAATATGGTGTTAGGGGATAAAACTGCATATTAAGAACTCATTTTTCGGTTAATACTTTTTATTTTTTACTTTAAAAAATGATATTATATTCTCACTTCTCTCGCATTTACGTAAAATTGGCCTGTTGAAATGTAGAAAATGAAGTTAGCTCAATTTCAATTACACATTCTCCACAATATTTTGCCATAGGAAGGTCCGGTGTGAGGTCGGAGTCAAATCGAAATTGAACCATACCATTTATGCTTATAGCAAGGGGCTGTTTGGTACGAGAGTTTTTTTAGAATTTTCAAAAAATTAAATTTTTTTAAATTTTAAATTTTCGGATATTATCGTAAACTTAATACAAAAATCATATTTTTGAAAATTGAGATTTTCGGACAAAAAAAAATTCCTCCTCTACCAAACGTCCCCTAAGAGTAAGTAAAATGTGTTTTGCTCTAACTAAAAGTTATGACTTTTGGTCTAGTCATGAGTGTTTGATCCAATACTTTTTAAACTTCTACTAACTAAAATGTCTTAAGTAGATAAAGTTTATATTAAAATACCAAAATTTTGAACGCGTAGAATTTATTCTTCGATTGTGTTTTATAAAGGGTAAAAAAAAATAAACTTCAATTAAATGTCTTAAAAAAACCTTCCCTCACTACTATATTCATTATGAGTGTACATGATAATCATTTTATTCTTTGACATTGGTTTTAGATAGAAATGATATTTTTTACACGAAACCACCTTTTAATTACTTTTTTTCTTTCTAAAAAAGTACCTCGTACTTTCAATTGGAATAATTAACCTCCTTAGACTATTACATTGCAACAATTAAGATTATTTAATAATTTTATGAAAAAAATGTCGCTTTTCCATACACTATGAAAGGGGCATTGTTTGGGTTTCATTTGCACTGAAAATTTTAGGAGAGGAATAGATTAAAAAATAAATGGCTGCAAAGAACGAGCAAAACAACTTCAATTTTTCTTTAAATAATAGGAGTACAATCGCTTTATGCCTTAACTTTAGATGGAGTGAAAACTGGTACTTAATGGAAGACTTTGTTAGGGTTTCACAAGGTTTAAATGGAAGGCGTTGATGGCTTGGCTCATGAAAGAACATCTGAAAAATTAAAATGCACTAAATTTTAACTATTACTTTTTCCTTTGAACAAACCTTTTCATGCGAAAATCCTTTGAATAAACACATTGTTACAGACACAATAAATAAAAATGAAAATTTGACTTTATTGAGGAAGCCTGACCTCGAATGGCTTTACTCAGGAATCTCAACCTCTTGCACAAAGTGTTTTTTTCCAAATAATTCTTCTATTATCTTTATTCAAATACTTCAAGGTTTAAATAAATAATCAAGACTAGCTTAGAAATAACTACCTACTAGCATTAGATAGACTCCACTAATAACTATAACCTACCATTTAGGAAAGTTGAAATAGAAATAACTACCCACTACTTAAACAACCCAACAATTCATAAAATAATAGAATAAAAAATAAAAAACCGTAACATTCCCTCCCCCTAAAAATAACTCTTGTCCTCAAGAGTAAATTCAACATCAAGTAATTGAATCATCTTCAATATCCGCTTCTCCTTCACTTTCGTCCATCACCGCCTCGTTGTCGCTCTCTTTTGTCACTGCTTGGATGGTGAATAATTGTTTGCAGCGATGGCTTGGAGTGAATGCGTCATTACAGCAAACGAGAGTCGAAACGGTGGAGGAGGCGCCACTGCCGGAAGATACAGCACCGCTGGTGGGAATGGATAAAGGCGAACCCTTGGTGTTGCTGACTGTTATGGTCAGTTGCACATTCTGAGCAGGAAAGATGATCTTATGATCGCGGGTCTCGTATAGTTTTGCCAGCCCAATAGTAGATGAGAGGGTGTTGGGCTTGTTAGCTACCAAGACATCCAACCGGTTGGAGAATTGGTTGAACATCTCCTTGAATTGCTCCGACAAAGACTGGACCGCGTCTTCCAATTTCTAAAAGCGTTTGTCCATGCCCGAGCTTTGATACCAATTGCTACAAACACAATAAATAAAAATGAGAATTTGACTTTATTGAGGAAGCCTGACCTCAAATGGCTTTACTGAGGAATCTCAGCCTGACCTCTTGCACAAAGTGTTTTTTCCAGATAATTCTTCTATTATCTTTATTCAAATACTTCAAGGTTTAAATAAATAATCAAGACTACTTTAGAAATAACTACCTACTAGCATTAGATAGACTCCACTAATAACTATAACCTACCATTTAGGAAAGTTGAAATAAAAATAACTACCCACTACTTAAACAACCCAACAATTCATAAAATAAAAAAAAAATAAAAAACCATAACACACATTTGGATTTTCAACTCAAAGAAAATGAGGAAGCATTAACCAGATTTGCACATATGTTATTCTAAAGCATTTTGAGAGTCAATAACACAAGCTTATTCCAAAACCTGATGCTTTTGATTGTGTTCTTTCTTTTCCATCTCTAAAAATACAAGTGCGCTTCTTTGGATCGAAAAAAAATCCATAGTACAGGACGGTGGCCAGTGGAATAACTAAGGTGGTGTTTGGTTGAAGAGATTTGAAAATTTTCCCATACAAATGAACTTGGCATTCCAGAAAGTTGTTGTTTGGTAGAGAGATTCATTGAAGTTCCCCATCTATGCTATTTGCATAGCATTTTCCCATTTAGTTGTAGAAAGTCAGCCATTGGCACTGTTTAGAATTTGAAGTTGGTGGTGGTTTTCTGGGGATAGCTGGGTAAGTTGGAAAATGAGAAAATAAAGCAGACCAAACTACCCCTTCGTAATCCTTCTCCTCTTTCTTTCCACCGTCTCTATGCAGCAGCAGCCACCTGCAACCACCAACAGCCGCCGCGGCGGTCACCATGGACAAAGAGGCAGGCACCACCGTGGCAACTCAGGGAAATTTTTCGGTTACGTTCGGAGCAACAACCCCACAGATGCTAGAACTCCACCATGTGATGCACCTGCCCATGCTCCAATTGTAAAGATGGCATGTACTAAAATATTGATATCTTCAAAAAATAAATTGCTCAACTTGGTACTTTTACTTACTGAAATTTCAATCAGTTAGCAAGAACTCCGCAATTCCATTTTTATTTTTTTTTCACGTTTCTCTCTAATTTGCAATTTTTTTTATTTTCCCAAAAATTTTAAAAACAGAGATATTTTCGTAATTGTCACTTATTTTTCTATCTATATTTTACCTCAAACTAAACATAGATTTTATAAATCTTACCTAATTTGTCCGGTAAATTTTTTCCAACCAAATAACTTTTTTTACATTTTCCTACCAAACTCACTTTCCAACCATTTTCCTATCAATTACACTTCCCTAGTATTCTTAAAATTTATGAGGAGGGGTATTTTTGTCATAAAAATATTAAAAAGGTTAATTGTTATAATATGATAGGGGAAAAACTTTTATGCTTCTATTCTAGGAGTAGGATATTGTAACAACCAACTAGTGTTATTACCAATGTTACTACCAATCAATTTTACCGTTAGAACGATTATGTTGATCCAACAGTTATATTTATTTTCATCTTTGTATGATTATCATTCCTCATATTTAATACTTTATATTTATTTTCATCTTTGTATGATTATCATAACCATACAAAGATAAAAATAAATATAAAGTATTAAATATGGAGAATGATAACCATACAAAGTTGAAAATAAATATAACAGTTGGATCAATATAATCAATCTAACGATGAAATTGATTTGATTGGTAATAACACTAATTGATTGTTACAATAACCTTCCCTTCTATTCTACTGTAGAAAATTTTTCTGACACATTCACATAAAAAATAAGTGAATCCTATTTTAAAAAGGAGAAAGAAGAATTTTTTTCTCTTGCACACTCCATTTTCTGATTTGTACCGCTGGATCTATTTGATCGGTCAAAGCTTGGTCGAACTTCACCACGCCGTTCATCATCTATCACCACTCTCCTTCGTCCACATCTCTTTTATGGTTCAGATCTGGGAAAAAAAAACTTTCGATCCATTTTCTGAGTGTGTCGCTGGATCTATTTTTCATTCATTTTGGAATTATATACCTTCCAATTTCACTTTGATTTTCTCAACTGCAAGTTTTAATTTTTATTCTTGATAAATAAACACACTTTCTTACCTTTAAACTCCATTTACTGGAAATGGTGGAGACATATTGCTAATGACCCCACAATGTGCTTCAATGGAGACGTACACACTTTTATTTGGTTTTTACAAGAAAAGAAAATTGGACGACTCTCAAAATTTCTAACTAGAACTAACTTGATTGTTTTGTGTAGTTTATTACATTTTCTTTATCAACGTTTTGTCAATTTATTTTTCCTTTTTGTTCCCCTGGTGTTCCTTTTGTTTCTTTTTTTTTTAACTGCTCTTTTGTTTCATTTGGGTGTATTGTACGGTTTTCACGGTCTGGATTAGATCGATTTTGAAGCAAAAATCACCCGATTCAATTCCTTCGATTTGATCATTTAATCATCATTCAATTTGGATTTTTTTTTTTTAAATCTGATCCAATCTAATTCAAATTTATTCAGTCTAGATTAGATCGATTTTCGATTTTTCAAAATGCCTAAAATTTCAGTCATACAAATCACTAACTATATTAAAATAAAGCAATTCAAAATTATAAACCACTAGAAAATTCAAGTCTTAAAACTAAAACAAGTCTTACTAAAAATAATGATAAGAATACTTTTAGAAATGTTATCATATACATCTCATATTAAGAGAAAATGTTTCATATTATGATTCTTATTAAATGCAAATAAATTAATGATCAAAATTTGATATAAAATTTCTTATTTTTATACTAGTGTGAGAATAACCTCCCTATATATAAATAGAGAGAGAGAGAGAGAGTAGGTTTGTCCTCTTCAACCTTACCCTCATTATTTGGTGACTTCACCATTGCTAAGGTTTAATAGACCTCCCTGGCTTTGCAATGTAGAATGCCTCTCTTCATCCAAAAAAAATTTAAATTAAAAAAAAAAATAGTAAAAATAAAATAAGACAATGAAATGCTCCTATGTTTATATTCATGATCTTCGGGACTCCATGTACAAAATAAATTTCTATAATGGAAATAGTTATAATCTAAAAGGTGAGGGGAAGAAAAGCAGAAAAGAACAAAAAAATCTAACCAATTTCTGTATTATTGATGGATTAAATGCCAGAATTTCGTAGTTACTTACACTATATAACATTGAAGGGTCACTAGGTACATGAATGTTTATCAACACGGCAAACCTTCAAAAAATAATAAGTCCTTCAGAATATGGATCTGAGAGTATCCATGATACTGCACCAGGGCATTTCAGTCACTGTCTGAGCCAAAATTTATAGTATCTGCTATAAAAAAAAGAAAAGGAAAGTGATAATTAGATATTAAAATACATGTAACTAGTTGTCTTACAAATAAACAAGAGAAAGAACAAAAGAAAGAAAAAAAATTGAACTAACATCAGTAGACCAGCACACATGTTCTTCACCCCTTCTATGGTTGATGTTGATGAAAACCATGATAATGACAATGACAATTATGACAAAGATAAGATAATGATTATTATTAGCATAAATCACGTTGACATCTGAATTTTGACGAGACTGCATCATACTGCTTTTCTAATTCTGAAAATTATAAATACCCTCGTCTCAAGGGTGAATTTGGAGCCTATGTAGCATCAACACTGACATGCGACATGATACCGTATCTAAAACACTCGAACAAATTCATTTTAAAATTTTTTAGATATCGACATGTTGGAACATATTTTAATATTAAATAATATTTTTAATATAAATAGTGTATATTATATTTCATATTCAATAATTTAATAAAAAAAATAAAACTAAACTGATAATATCCATCAATTTAAACAAAAATGATCCAGAGAGAGTAATTTTTTTTCCATAATTCCATTACATTAATATAAAGAAAAAATAATATAATATCCATAGAAAATCATAAATTATGTAGACTACATTCATTGAGCATTTTCATCTAGAATAACACTTAACTTCATCTCCGGCTCATCAAATGCAAGAGTAGCAACTTCAAGAATTCCAACAATTTCAAATATATCTCCACCGTCCCACATTTTATTTTCTCCTTGTGCATATTGCAGACTCTTTCTTGATAAGAGTCAAAGGTTGCTATATATATAAACCAAGATTTTAGCATGTTTTAGAGTCTTCTTATTCCTCCTTACATAATGCACAAAAGAATAAATACTCCAATTGGTTTAGCACATGATGAAAAAGAGGATTGTGCAATGAGTTGTGTAAAGAACCAATTCAACCCAAAAGCTTAAGCTGTTGGGTGATGTTACATTAATGATTTTATATATCTCAACACGCCCCCTCACACGAGAGCCCACTGGGCTTGAAGGGTGGACAATGCACAGGCCCACCTACCTGTGCGAAGAAAGAAATTCCACTAGAAGGAAAGTGAGAGGCGTTGACGATTGAACCCGGTACACCGAGGCTCTGATACCATGTAAAGAACCAATTCAACCCAAAAGCTTAAGCTGTTGGGTGATGTTACATTAATAATTTTATATATCTCAACAAGTTGCAATGCTATCTTTTGAAGCATAGGTGCACAAGCACCATGAAACAAGCACCATGAAACAAGCACCAAGCTTTAAGCACAATAGAATATCGATTTACGATGGCATCATAATCTCTAAAACCCCCACTCATACTACCAAAATCCACATATTCCAAATTTATTTTATTTCGATCCTCCAAGTTAGGAAAGTATTTCTTTATGCATTTTTGTCTTTCTTGATTAATCTCTTGATCCTTGTGCGGAGGAACTCAACTAGAATCTTCATTAAGTTGTGGTTCACTATAGTATCTAAAAGAAAAAAAAGAAAAACAATTAACAAATTATATCAATTAAGAGAAGTATTAAACTCATTCATATTTAAAAGCTTACTTGGGATTCAAAGCATACGCCAAACAATGAAGTGGAGTTCCAACGATCCACAAGAATGCTATGCACTACCTCATAAAAAGTTGAGGTCTCTCAATTATCTCATCCCACATATCATAAAACAAATGATGACAAGATTTATCAATGTCACAAATCATGATCATATCATAAATAGGAACAGTGAAAGTAAGTATTTGATCAATTGAATCCCATCAAAGATCATCAAATATCTTATCCTTAACAAATCCCGCCCTTCCTAGATTATCATCTTTATAAACACTATTTTTCAGTATAACTTGAACCTCTTTAGCATCACTATTATGGAAGCAAAACGGGTTTCGGATATAGAAATCAACTTCAATCCCACAAACTCATTAAACATTGATAGTCTAATAGAATGATTCATTATGGAATTCATTATTATAGTAACATCTCAAACAATTTCAAAAATCTAACAACATTCCTCATATACTATTTGATTATTCTCCGCATTTTTAGCAGCACAAATATTTTTCACAGCTAAATTCAGTGTGTGAACAACACAAGGTGTCCAAGTAATAGACGGTAATTCTTGTTCAATAAGTTGTCGTGCTCCCTTACAATTTGCAGCGTTATTCGTGATTACTTGAACTTTTTCATGCCCAACTTCTTAGAATTACTTCTTTTAACAACATGAAAATAAAATGTTTATCCTTAATCTCTCATAAGCAATCAACTGATTTCAAAAACATAGCTTCGCCATTAGATACTGCCATGAAATTAATAAGTGGCCTTCTTTGTGAATCACTCCATCCATCACTCACAATACTAACACCCTTCTCATTCCACTCAGTTCGAATAGGTGCACACAACCTATTAATATTTTCCTTCTCTTTTTGCAAAAGGGCAGTATGCAACGAGTTATATCCTTATAGAAAATAAGCTCCAATATTATAATCCGCAGCATAAATGAAGGTGGCTTAAAAGTATGGGTTCCTTGCTAAATTGAATGACAATCCTGCTGGATAAAACATCATAGAAATCAAGTGATTTAATTCTTCCTGCGCCCCAACATTGAATGCCCTCTCAAGAGGATTCCACCCTCATTCTCACTTCGTTTTTTCAAGTTTAAATCTATGGAAAATCTAAAAGGGGTAAAGGTAAATTTTTGGGACCAGTATCCTTTAATCTCTCACTAGCTTCTTGTTCTAATTTCTCAATCTCTAGCAAGTCTTTTGTCTGCATATTTACACACTTTGCAATTCCTTTACCCGATAATTTTAACAAATGAGCCCTTGTTATAGTATATGAACTTTTATAATCCTTTCCACAAAAATTACATTTCCAAGATATATTCCCTATTGCTTCTATTCCGGTGTCTACTTTGGTAACATATTTCCATAATGATTTACTTAGAATCCATCATCTCCTGAATTTGGCTGCGATGCACTACTTGCGATACTTGAATCCATTCTATAAAAATAAAATAAAACACTACATTAAAAAAAAAACAATTTGAGTATGGAATTTTTATAAAAAAGGACAGAACATTAATACAAAAAAATTAGAGATTTTTTTTTGAACAATCCTAAATTATATTTTTTGAAACAGAATTATAACAAATCTATTTATCAGGAAGTTTGACAAAAGTTAATTAGGCTTTTAAGAAAGAACATTCTCCTTCTAGATCAGCTGGTTTATGCATTTACAAATGCCTCTTTGTAATTAGGGTAGACACAATATTTCCAAGAAAAATAAACAAACTATTGAAGGAATAAAAGCAATTCGATAATTGTGCCTTCAAGGCTTCTAAATCATGGCTGAAGCGACACTTGTCTTCGTAACGACATGAACTAAAATCAAAATGTTGCATGTTCCAAAGAACATTAAGTAATTTACCTGACGACATTCACGTCTGAGCTGGCGCGAATGTCAAATATTCCAAAGAACATTAGACTTCTTCTCCTTAACCACAACAGGGGTCTTATTGTTGGTGAGGGAACAGCCGCGCGCTCAACCACTCACCATCGCATCTTGTCCTTCAGCCACAACCACCTTTTGTCACATTTGCAGGAACCGCCAGCCTCCGCACCACCGATTGGGTTAGGGACTTAGGGTTTTGTTTTTGACAGGAGAGAAATGGGTTGCCGGTTGGTCTCTCGCAAGTTTCAGCTATGAGGGGAAGGAAACACTGGTTTTTAACTTTTTATTAAATGCATTTTAATTTTTTAAAAATCATAATTTTATTAATCTATTTTAATTTTTTAAAGATTATAATTTTATTATAAAAATGTCATTTGACCGTGTCAGACACAATCAAATTCAAATTCGCATGTCAGATTGGTCAACATGACAGAAATGTTGACCAAGTGTCGGGTGTCTGACGCTGAATCTTCAGGTTTTTGGAAGTGTACGTGCTTCATAGCCTGAAGAAAGTGGTAAAGCTACTCCTTTGTGACTGAAAGATCACGGGTTTGAATCCGAAAAATAGCCTCTTTGCAAATATGCAAAGGTAAGGATGACTACAAGGATCGTCAAGATTTAACGGGAGAGTGGTTTTCATAAATACCCTCATTTGGGTATTTTTCAACTACACATAAATGTACCAAATGACATATGGAGATGTTATGAGTATGAGAAATAAAAATTACTTTTAAGAAAGATAGAATTGAAGAGCTGGAAATATAATGCTTACAACTTTTAAAGCTGCTCCCGGATGTAGGCCATAGATCTCAACATGGAACCCAGTGTATCTCTAGAAACTTGGAATTTCACCTGTGTTTCCCCAGTAGTTGTCTTTGTATCCTGCAGCTGGAAAAAGTAGAACAATAAAATTTAGCTAAAATACCTTGGACACAATCTAATGGAATACAAAATGATAAATTTGCTTAGACTGTACAATATTGCATAATTAAGCACACCTGTACATAGAAGTATGGAATTGAAATTATGCAGTCGCTATCAAATCCAAGAATAATATCAAACACTATTAGACCATCTAAAATCACTAATATTTTATTTTATTTTTTTGGTAACAAAAGCACTAACATTTTGAATTCTGTTAGAAATAATATTAATCTATTATTATTAAAATTATTAGAATAGTCTAGATTGTGGTCTTGGCCCATTAGGTCTTTTAGTCTCTATAAATAGAGAGCCTTCTTGTACAGTTATACACACTTGAATATACAATAAATTTCAGATTCAATTTGGTATCAGAGCTCTCGATCCGAGGGCTCTGCTTCCGCATATATATCATTTCCTTTCTTATTTACTGCCGTGCATCATACCGGCAAACCCTTTTACCGCCGTGCATCATACCGGCAACCTTTTTCAACCCTCCGAACATTGTTAGACCCTTTTTTCGATCTCAGATCGTCATCCTCCTTCATTATTTGACCGGAAAACACTATTCACATCGTCAGAAACACTGTTCCGTCACTGTTCATCACTGTTCCGGCCACCTTTCCGGCGAGAAACCACGCGATCAGGATCCCCTCACGCCGGCGACCGTTTCTGTCCAAGACCCGTCCCAAACGGCCGCCGCACGCGCCCCCACGCGCTACCACAACCGTCTGCGCGTGGGCCTCACGCGCCACCTCTCTCCGGCGCGTGTGCACTGTTCTGGCCACCTTCTCCGGCCAAACCAAGGCAGACAGGCTCGCCTCTGCCTCCTCCTTCCAGATCCGGTGCCCGTTCGTTGTGGGTCTCTTCCGTTCGGGGGTTTCCAGTGCAAAAGTTGCTACTTTGTTCCTTTTTCGCGTGACTTTTACCGTTTTTTGGTTGTCTGATCGCTGTGTCTGATGGAAGGAACCAGTAAACATCCTTCCGGCACCATTTCAAGTGCTATTCCATCTATCACAACTCTGAAATTGACCAGATCTGCCACTTACAAGACCTGGTCTACCTCCGTTAAGATCTGGTTTACCGGTCAAGGCCATGACAAACATCTCACCACTAAGAAGACTGACATTTCCAAAGATCAGACGTCTGAATGGGAGAAAGTTGATGCTCAGCTCCTCAGTATTCTTTGGCAATCCATTGATTCATCTCTTCTCAATATTTTCATTCCCTTTGAGACCTGCTATGATGTGTGGACGGAAGCCAAAAACCTCTACACCAATGATATTCAGCAACTTTATTCCATTGTCTTCCAGATGATGGATTTGCGCAAATCACCCGACGCTCGTATGGAAGTTTATGTTGGTAAGATTCATTCTTTGATGCAGGAATTTTTGGCTATGTTACCTCATGCTGCGGATGCTACAGTGTACAGGACGCAAGTGGAGCGTCTCTTTACGGTTGTGACTCTCTTTGGTCTCCCTGACGGATTAGAAAGTGTTCGTGAGAACATTCTAACCAGTACTGAGATTCCCAGCATATCCCAGACCTTTCAGCGCCTCCTGAATCTTCAAGATAAGGTGGCCCCCGCACACGTGCTAGCTACTGACTCTACTGCCCTCTTGTCTGATTCTGCTGCTTTAATCTCTCGTGGTAATTGGAACAATGGTGGACGCGGTCGTGGTCGTGGCCGCGAACAAGGCGGTCGCGGGCCGATGACATCATATGGCCCAGGCGGGCGCGGACAGACGACGTCATATGGACAGGGTGGCCGAGGACAAAGGCCTCGGTGTAATTATTGCCAAAATCTGGGCCACATTGAAGAACATTGCTACAGAAAGTACCCTCACTTGAAGCCACCACAAATGAACTTTGCTCAAACAGATGTTGTGCTGCCCTCTACCGGATCAGTGACTATTTCCGCTGCAGACTATGAGGCCCTTCTCCAGAAGAGTTCTTCTCAGCCACCTGCTCCAGATACTGGTAATCATGTTGCTTGTTTTTCTCAATCGTCTCTTGGACCCTGGATAATAGACTCAGGTGCTACTGATCATCTTTGTGGTAATAAGGATCTTTTTACTTCCCTTACCTTTTCTAATAATCTTCCCTCTATTACTCTTGCTGATGGCACCAAGGCTCCTGCTCGTGGCATTGGGCAAGCCAAACCAACTCCCTTCTTGACTTTAACCTCTGTTTATTACATCCCTGGCATTCCTTTTAATTTAATTTCTGTTAGTCAATTGACCCATTCTCTTTCTTGCTCTATCACCTTTTCTAAACAGTCTTTTTCTATGCAGGATCCGGGTACGGGGAAGAAGATTGGAGCGGGTAGTGAGTCACGAGGTCTCTACTATCTGCATGCACCCTCTGCTCCAGTTGCATGCTCTCTCACAGAGTCTCCTGAGCTTCTCCATAGCCGTCTGGGTCATCCAAGTCTCTCGAAGCTTCAGCATATGGTTCCTTTTTTGTCAGGTCTTAAGTCTTTGAATTGTCAGTCTTGTCAGCAGGGAAAGCATACTCGCTCTTCCTTTGCTAGCAGAGTCAATAAGAGAGCTGCTGCTCCATTTTCTATTGTTCATTCTGATATTTGGGGTCCGAGTCAGACTATGTCAGTTTTGGGTTTTTAGTATTTTGTAACCTTTATTGATGATTTCTCCCGTTGCACTTGGGTTTATTTAATGAAAAATCGTTCTGAGTTATTTTCAATTTATCAAAAGTTTTGTGCAGAAATAAAAACTCAATTTGGTGCCTCTATTCAAATCTTGCGCAGTGATAATGCAAAAGAGTATGTGTCTCTTGAATTTTCTAAATTTCTGGATACACATGGGACGATACACCAGACTACCTGTCCCCACACTCCACAACAAAATAGAGTCGCTGAACGTAAAAATAGACATCTAGTTGAAACTGCACGTACCCTTCTCATTCATATGAACGTCCCACTCCGTTTTTGGGCAGATGCTATTATCACCTCATGTTTCCTTATCAACCGCATGCCTCTTCTGTGCTAAATAATGATGTTCCCCACAGTATTTTGTTTTCCGGCGCACCTTCTTATCCTCTGCCTTTATATATTTTTGGCTGTACTTGTTTTGTTCATGATCTTACTCCAGGTAAAGACAAGTTGACATCCAAGGCCTTCAAATGTATTTTCCTTGGGTATACACGTTTTCAAAAAGGGTATCGTTGTTATTCTCCTGATCTCAAGCGTTATATCGTTTCTGCTGATGTCACTTTCCTTGATCAGCAGCCTTTTCACTCTACTCCGTCTCCAGTGTCACAGGTTGATTAGGTCCTTCCTGTTCCTTTTCTTGACTTGTCTTTACCAGCTGCAGGTGACCCTATTCCAGAGGAGCAACCCATTACCTCCATATCTGCAGATCGTCCTCTCCTCACATACAAGCGTCGTCAGCCTGCACCTCCTCCGACTTTGCCTCTTGATGACTCATCGCCTTTTCCCGTCGGCTCTTCTCAACATTTCAGAAAGGTATTCGATCCACTCGAAATCCTCATCCCCTTTATTCTTTCTTGAGTTATGACAGACTTTCTTCACAACATTTTACTTTTGTTTCTAGTCTCTCTTCTGTTTCCATCCCTAAAACCACAGGTGAAGCACTATCTCATCCAGGGTGGCGCCAGACGATGCTTGATGAAATGCAGGCACTTCACTCCAATGGCACTTGGGATCTTGTTCGTGCTCCTCCCGGGAAGTCTGTTGTTGGTTGTCGATGGGTGTTCACAGTTAAAGTTGGTCCTGATGGCACTGTTGATCGTCTTAAAGCTCGCTTAGTGGCCAAGGGATACACACAGATCTTTGGTCTTGATTATGGGGATACCTTTTCTCCTGTTGCTAAGATGGCTTCTGTTCGCCTGTTTCTTACCCTTGCCGCCATTCATCACTGACCCCTTCAACTTGATATTAAGAATGCTTTTCTACATGGTGACTTGCAGGAGGAAGTTTATATGGAGCAACCACCAGGTTTTGTTGCTCAGGGGGAGAGTTCTGGAATGGTATGTAAACTTCGAAAATCTTTATATGGCCTGAAGCAATCTCCTCGGGCCTGGTTTAGCCGCTTTAGTTCAGTTGTTGAATCCTTTGGCTTAATCAGAAGCAAAGTCGATCATTCTGTCTTTTACCGGCATAGCTCTTCTGGCCAGTGCGTTTATCTCCTGGTCTATGTTGATGACATTATCATTACAGGCAGTGATCAGACCGGGATTGATTAGTTGAAAGAGCATTTATTCAATCAATTTCAGACCAAAGATCTTGGCAGACTTCGATATTTCTTGGGGATCGAAGTTGCACAGTCTAGGCGGGGCATTTCCATCTGTCAGAGGAAGTATGCACTGGATATCCTAGATGAGACAGACATGTTACGCTGTAAACCCATTGATACACCTATGGACCCCAATGTTAAGTTATTACTAGGACAGGGGGAGCCACCGCCAGATCCTAGTCGCTACCGCCGACTAGTTGGAAAATTGAATTATCTTACTGTGACATGGCCTGATATCTCCTTCGCAGTGAGTGTTGCAAGTCAATTTCTTGATTCTCCCTGTGACTCCCATTGGGATGCAGTTATTAGAATTCTCCGATATATTAAAAAGGCGCCAGGAAGAGGTTTATTATACACAAATAAAGGGAGTTCAGAGATCTCTAGTTATTCAGATGCTGACTGGACAGGTTCTCCTTCAGATAGACGATCCACCTCAGGGTATTGTGTTCTCTTCAGAGGAAATTTGATCTCTTGGAAGAGTAAGAAGCAAACTGTGGTCGCCAGATCCAGTGCGGAGGCAGAATATCGGGCAATGGCAAATGCAACCTGTGAGCTCATCTGGCTGAGACAATTGCTTAAGGAACTCCATCTCTGTGAACAACGGCCTATGAAGCTCATTTGTGACAACCAAGCCGCTTTGCATATATCCTCTAACCCAGTCTTTCATGAGAGGACCAAGCATATAGAAATTGA